TCGAAAGCGGGCCATTTACATACTTTGGATCGCAGGCCTTACACCAGAACATCGGAATCGGTGAGTTAGATTAAAAATAGGGATTCATTAAGCACACATTCCCTTATTTTATTATTAAGATTATTCTTCAATATTTTTTTTTTTTTTTATAATTTTTAAGCATACTCAAAATTTAATATATATTTTAATATTACTACATTGTAAAACGATTGTATTAGAATTTTATTTCATTTAAATGATTTATTTATTATGGTGAATTTAAAAGAGTGAGTTATGGCGAGATGGATATTGCGTTGGGGAGCCAGAGAGGGACAGTGAAAAAGTATATGAGAAATATCGCAGATGACGGGGTCGTGGATATGTGCCATGCATATAGAAGAGTCATTGAGAGACAGTTTATAAGAGTGTGATGGTAGGTGTGTTCAAATCTTGGGCGTGAAAAAGAAGTAATTATGTTACGATTTAATTCGAAGTTGTGAAACCAAGGTTGGGAGAGTATAGATAGTGAAATATGTTTGTACCAAGATGCATAATGGGGCTAGGTTGTTCCATTGGTTGAGCCATAAATTAGATGTATGGGATTTTAATAAGGGGGACAAAAATTGGTCCAGTGAATTAGAGTTGGAGGAGGTCACCAATATGAGGAGGTAGATTTTGCAATGGAGTCCGTTATTGCATTACCTTTTATGTCAGAGTGGCCGGGCACCCAAAGGAATTCCACTATAAAATCTAAAAGAGTAAGTTTATATAGGAGTTTCTTGATCCTGATAGAAATAGGAGAGGTGCGGAAATTGAAAAAATTGGAGGAGAGGCTGAGAAAACTTGATAAGGAATTGGAAACGATGAGGTAGGTACTGGGGGGGGAGGGTAGAAATAGTTGAAAGGGCTTATAATATTGCGAAACATTCTGTAGTGAATGAAGAGGCAGAAGGGGGTAGATTGTTGGACATGGAGATGTGTAAATCGGGAATGAAAAAAGCGTATCCGACTGAAAAAGAGGAAACGGAACCATCGGTATAAATTAAGGTAGAATTGGGGAAATTATTTTGGATGTACTCTAAGAAAAGATTGTTGACGATAATGAGTGATATAGGTTTAAGTGATTTGGAGGTAACGTTAAGAAAAAGTTTGTTTGTTTGAACTTTGAGGGAGTAGGAAAGTGCCATATAATAGCCTATTCGATTCTATAAGAACCAAAATTTAAGCATTTTAAAGTATGATCTTTAATTTTACTMAAAAATCTAAAGACCAGAAGTCTATAAATAGATATACGATTGAATCTCAATAGTCCTATATACACGAGGAAACGTTCGCTGACCATCTACGATATAGTACTACTTTAGTCTTAACAATGTTACCAAATTTATTTCAGGCGAGTCACCACCGTCCGGAGCCAACCCTACAATGGCTAATTCGACTGTGAACAACATGGGCAGTATACAGTCGGTCAACATCGATGCCATGTTGCGTTACACTTTCGTGCCCGATTACTCAGTGCGTGCCGTTACTGAAGTGATGTATTTACGTGTGAAACGTTCATTTTATATGGCAGCTAAACGCGCTACGCTCATGGAACGTTCTAAGAAAATGTCAAACGCTGGTGAATTCGACGAAGAAGTAGACAAGGTGATTAGATTCAAAATCTTGTACGACTCTTATTAAAAATACACCATAGGCGAGCATTTAGTCTAGGAATTAAGTGTGCAACCTTATCTATTATTTCCCCTCAGGAGGCTCATGTCCCTCAGACCAACTACCCAAAGTCCCAAACACAATTTTCTTTTTTTTATCGCTTAAATTGAAAAAAAAATATTTGCTTTATGATGAATAATTTTATGTTGGACAGATTTATTTATTTAAATTCAATAGAAAAACTTGTATTTATAGTGTTTCTACTGACACAATCAAAGTCACTTACGTATTGCATAATTTATTGACRCAACAGAGCTWATTTTCYAAAATCTCCACAGTCACAATGTTAAACCAGTCACTATTTCATGGATCTCAGACTGGTATTTTTTTAATATTTTGGTTTTATTTTTTTTTTTATTCTATAGAATTCATGATTGTATTAATTATACTTAATAATATTTTAAATAAATTTTATTTTTTACATTTTAAAATAAGGTTCTCCGCCTCSCYCCCTCTCCTCATTAAATCACCTCAAATATTTCAGCATATTTATATTTTACTCGATTAAAAAATTTTACAGTGGTTTAATTGCACAGCAAATTTGATTTCATATAAAATTCTTTTAATTTAGTGATTAATAAATCTTTATTTACTTTTTGTTAAAGCTGTTCCATACTTATGGAGACGAAGATCGCAAGAGTATCCAAGGTTCTCCAGACGTCACTAGAAATGCATCTCAGGTAAAGCGCAGCGATCTATTATAAATTTCATACACATCACAAGAGATCACTACTTAAAAAACTACAGAAAAAAATTATTAAAATGCAGTTTCTGTAATTTCAATATTTATGGTGTAAACGCATTTCAGCCCAACATCTCAGATTTCGCACTTCGTATTTAGGTGGATTTGTTCGCTGCCACCAGACCGCGAACACTTAAACTGCTTGAAACTAGTCTGTAAACCAAAACATTATATTTTCCTTTCTTAATCATTTGATGGTGAGTGGGAGACTGAAATGAAAAAAAAAGTAAAATAATTTACTATAAAATATGATTTTGCCGTCACTATGCGAAAAGCACGCTTTGAAATATTATTCCACGTTTATGATATTATCATATTCATTTTCAATTGGCTTCAATCGTTTCGATTTTGTCCATTCATTACGAATAAATAGACAATATACCTAGCTCATGACCTAGAGTTATTACGGCAAATTTGTTTTTAAAATTATCCTAGTGATACACTTAAATATATGTATTGATCCATATTTATACCTATTTGGATAATAATGGGTTGGCGTACGCAGAGAGGATAGGAACTAACGGAATGAAGCCCACCTCTCTCATTGCAGCATATTTTCTTTTATATTTATCTAATTTCAACTGTAGCAAATCAGTAATCAAGGGCGTATTCGTATACACATCAACGAATTAGTTTATTGAATGAGTTGATTTAGTAATATAGGCTTATTATAGCTACCATAAATAACAATTGGGAGAAGTTGGAGTTTTACAAAAATCAAATACTTTTCACCAAAACGTCTAAAATTATTATRCTGGACGAAATATAAATTAAAGTTTAATTTATTTCCATATTTTTCTTATGATAAACATTTTAATGATTCAATCTGTTAGAACTAAGAAAGTACCTACCCACTTTGTTTTTTAAACTAAATCCTGAAAGTTGTGAAAACTATGAGTGATTCCCAGCCCTCCCCCCTCTCGCTCCCTATTGAAAAATGCTGTGTACGCCACTAATAGTAGGTATACATTGTACATGAGTGCATGCATGCATGCATACATACATACATACACACATACATACATACATACATACATACATACATACATTCATACATATATATACACATATTGTATACATTCTTTACAATTATATTTTCTTCACAGATAAATCACCGTAAAAGTTCGATTGTACCCCTCAAGTCTGAAGGGCGTTCGAGTAATACAAAAAGAAACAGCAACGAGCTGTTTATATGAGGTAGTAGGAGTGAGCGAGTGTCATAAAATAATGCCTAAAGTTGTTCACTAACTGATTTACGATTTTAACCTTGATTTGATTTCTAGTTGGTTTCTAACATTGACTGATAGTAATTTAATGACCAATATATTTTGGTTCAATACTTTACATGTTTATTTAAAGTTACTTTATAATATATGAACAATGCATAAATATTAATAATTATGATATGCTTTTTAACATTTGTTTGCAAATTGTTCTACCATGTTAGTATTTATTCAAATTGTACCTATTTTAGATTTTTAATTTTTACGCAAACTTTATATATTAACACCCATCAAACAAACACAATACTCATATTCTTTGTGAAATTATTTMAAATACAMAACAGTACTGATTCATAACCAAACTGTATTTGTATAATTGTATTATGTCATAAAATGTATGTCATAATTTAATAGTTGAATTTTTTAAAACCAATTATCAATTGGTTTGTCGTTGAATCTTTTTAAAATGTTATCCAAATGCATATGGCATCTTACAACAGTTGATGAGATGTATAATTAAATTTGCTTCAATTTAATAATTTAAAAATAGGTAGTTAAAGTGCACATTTGTCAAGTATGTGTTTTAGTTGTTTTACTTCAATATAACATAATCTTCTCATGCTGATATAAATAATTAACATTGAAACTCAAACATTTTATAATTTATGTATTATTTTTTTCAAAATAAAATAATATTTCTTATTTCTTCTTATACCTCCCATACACGCATTACACAAATACACAATAGTATATTAAAAATACGCGCATTATTATTGTACTTTGAGCTTTAAAGTATACAAAATATTGAGTATTAATTTTTAATTACATTTTTTTTWTATATATATAATTCAAATACATGTTGCCTATAATATTTGTTWACCATTGTCAAATAAAATGTATATTACTTACAGACCACAGTACAGCCATCTACAATTTCGGCCAACTCAACATCTCTTAACAACGCGGAACCTACTCAACCTGTAGCCGTAGCATTCTCACGAACACCTCAAGGTACCTCTGATGCATCAGCTGAAGAAAAAATCACACTTTTGGGCACAAACACGATGGCCGCTACTACAAAATCGGACGCTACTGATCCATCATCTTAGGTCTATCGATAATGATATTAATTGTTAGTCTGTTCTTTTATAATTGTCATGTTTTTTTTCTGCTTTACATTAGATTAAATAACGTTTATTTAGGGACGTACATTACACCATTGATTGTTTGTTTAATCAATGATTACACATAAGCACGTAGCCGGTATTATTTATAAGTTTTTTTTTATTGTTATGTGTTACGTATAATTTTTGACTTAGGTAGTTCTAGTCCAGCATTATTGTGTTCAGTAAATGTCCAAAAAATCCCAACAGAGTCTTTCTGAATACGAGAGTCAATCAATATATGTATCCATTTAAATTTATTTATGCTCTCTTTACCCTAGTTTAGGACAAACATAGTAATTAAACTGCCTTAACGGCTGCACACTGATGACTCGACTCCCATTTTATCATTCTAGTGACTAACTACTTCAACCAGCTTTTATTTTATTGTACTTTTTTTTACGATTTATAATATAATTGCTTTGTTTATTTCATATTATTTATAAATATATACATACTACACACCCATTTATATATTATATATTAATATTACGTGTATAATTAAGCTTTGTGTCCCGGTGACGCGGAAATCCGTTTTGTATATATGCAAAAGCGAATCTCCAAGGCTTTTCGTGTCTCTTAAATTTTCAACCGATTTACGACCCCTCAGAGTGATCTCAGAGGTTAGCGAGTCCTCGTATTTTTTGATATTAATTTGTATTAAAAAATCGACGAATCTATGCAATATCGGTACTGTTCTTTCTTTCATTCTTTTTTTAATGAAATAAGTAATATTTTACTTCTATAATAGAATAAAAAAAAAAACAAAATAATTTAAATTGAAACATAACATTAAATCGTTTACCTTTAAAATACATTCTTCAACTTCGTTATTACTTTTTTTTATTAATTTGAGTATTACATATTGCTATGTATAGAAATATGTTCTACAAGTTTTTAATTGACTTTAAAATTAACACAGTAAGTGGCGTTTTATAATTCTTAGGATTGCGCTCAAAAATTAAAGTCTAAGTAATTATAGGTTATAAAAATAATCGGAATAACGTTTGGTGACTCGTTACAGAATATTTAGCTTCAGAGTTGACTAGTCTTTTTTAAGCTTACTGTTCATTTTATATTATGATATAATATAATATGGTGATGTTCATTGACAAAAAAATTTAAGAAAAAGAAGAATAGTTGGAACAAAAATAATTAGTTAATGTGGAAGGGGAGAAGTGTAATGTTGGGAGTTTATAAACATATATTTATATATAATAATAAATTATTATTGATAATATTATAATTATTAATGTTTGTATACTAAATTTTTCGTAATATTTATCTGTTGCGTGTAAGTAATTATATTATAATATTAGATACCTTATGATATAATTAAGCTAAATAATAATCTTAGAACTAATTTAATATTCGACAATAATCGACTGATGATTATCAAAATTTTCCCAACCTACTCAAGAGTCCGATTATATTATCAATTATTGTGGTTTGGCACATTGCGCTTGACTGACATGATGACAAAATTAAAATAAAATATAATATAACAACTATGCGTATTGGTACGAACATGCACCTTGTAGACATTTAATTATGGTGCCTGATTATTGTTGGACTTATTATTATTATAATAATTTTTTTTCATCCACCTGAAACATCAAATGAATCATAATGTCGCAAACGTATCCTATACAAAATTTAAAAMACTATCGAACCATCTGTGTCTGAAAGTGATATATTTAATCATAGGTATGTCGTAAAGTCGTACTGGCACATTATATGCTACAAACAAAATACCTATCTATATCTATAATGATGAATAGTATCATATAAATTAGAAAATTTGAATAATTTTATAACAGATTGTTCGCGAATATAACTAATAGAAGACCATAACGATTTATGCAGTATTTGAAGGCTCCTCTTAAACCCACATAAATTACGTTTTATGAGCGCTCATTCGGTAAAAAAAGATATCTGTTGTACACACACATTCAAAATATAGCCTACCAATAATATGATATTTTACTTTTGTCTCTGTTTTTGCCCATTTCTCTAGTTGTATGCATTTTCCTTATTTTTAAGTTGGTATCTATACAACATTTTGTATACATCTGAATTTTATTATTATCTTACTGACACCAATAATTATTATCATTTCGCATTGTCATAATTTATGATCAAAATAATAAATATTAAATATTACATTTTTTTTTATTATTATTATTATTATTATAATTATTATTTGTGTATAAGTATTCGTTGTTAAATTGTTTATTTTACCGTATAGTATAATCATTTCTAAACAAAAAACATTTTTGTGTTATCAGCCATTACTATTTTAATATTAACTAAATAATATGTAGGTGCCTTATTGTACCTATTTTTATTGTGTCCATATACAATAATATATTATTATATTTTAATGTTGAAGATATTATTGTTGAGCATATAACTATATTATATGTTTAGTTTATAGTTTTTTAATCATCTAATGTCGTGTTATAAGAAAATATTGTTTTTATTTATTTTATTTATATTATTTATATCATTATTATTTTTTTAGAATAGTTTTTCGCTATACTTAATTTGCTAATAATGTGTACAGTGTTTATGCGATAAAATTATGGGACAAATATGGATATTTCTATTATCGCGTTCAGTCTGTTAAAAAACTATATTGCTGTTGGGTTTAGATTAGGCATTATAATAATTTATATAAACTAATTTTAAGGTTAAAAAAATTAAATTAAATTATAATTATAATCGTTTTTCAGCCAAGTACTAGTTGTTATATTATCAGTGATGATCGAATAAAAAATGTTTAGTTGACATTGCTGATTCACAATAGTTGTATAGACTAACCTAGTAATAATTATAATATTAAACACTTAATCTTCTATTAATTAATTGATGGTCATAATAAAACAAATATGCCATTATAACTTGATGTTTAATAGACAAAATATATTATCTATTATTTGTAATTGATTTAGTTTAAAAATTTAAAAATTATATTTATACTGGCTGTGCTGCCCTTAATGTTCGGCTATAATTGAATTTTAAATTATCTATAAAATCAACAGTTTGATGAGATTAAATTATGTTAAATGGTTTGAGTTAAGTATTATTTATACAATTGTCACAGCCAGTACCAATTCTGGGGCCTATATATTTATATATACACAAGTAGCTTTAATATATTAACATACACACCAGCATGGAGTTAAATCAAATTAGAGTAACCTTTATAGTACTTAAAAATATTATAGTATCCATACAGTTATATATTATTTTTAACGTGTTAAAATGATATACAAATAATCTTTTTTTTAATATTATAATTATAATAATCAGGTATTAAAACCCATTCTGTTGTCCAGTACATGTAATATTATGTTATACGTTTATTATTATAATTATAGATAAATAGAAAATTGACTTTAATGTTTATTTGTAGTATTTATTAATTATTTATTGCAGAGGTTTGACCTAAAGTCCTAAAAAAAAGGACTTTTCTTTTTTCTTGAAAAAAATAAATCAATTTAAATGTTGATCAAAAATACAGTTATTAGGTACATATTAACTAGTAAGTCAATGAACGACTTATGTATCTAATAATTTACTGCATTATTATACCAATAGCACAACCTTTTTTCATAACCACAAGTCTTAGTAGTCTTACATTTTTAATAATTGAGGACAAAATATTATACCTACTTGCTATCTACATATCAACTAAATTCTCATCACTAATTAGTTATTAGCTACCTACTTAATATGTCTTATAGATACTTAACATCGTAAATCTGCATACCCAATTATTACTACAATTTATTTAAAGTTAATAAAAGAGAAAAATTATAWACTTATTATCAAATTTTTAGAGAATAATATGTAGCTGCTAAAGCAAAGACTTTGTTTTCAAATATTTAAGTTATTTTAAATATATGATTTAACACATAATTACATTTGTAAACTAAAAATAAGAAATGCTATCAATAATAGGTACCTATATTGTATGATCAAGACTAAACAATTTAAAATAATAAATAAACAATGCTTTATTTGGAGGTGAAGCAGGAGGACTAGTTCATGAACTATACGTTTGAAAATAATTATATTTGGGTATAAAATAATAAGTAGCCACGATAAATGAAACTACAACCTATTGTTATCATAAAGAAACAAAGAATAAAACTATAAAAGACGAGAAGAAAATATTGTTATAAATGAAAATAAGTAGAATGTTTGTTCACAACAATAAATGTATTTTGTTAATTCTGTCGAAATGCATCTCGTGTAATGTTCATACGTGTTTTTTTATTATAATTCAATTTTAGACATTTTAAAAAGTAAATATAATATATACATATATATATTGGTTACTAATATCAATTAAAACTAGGTACATAATTATAAGTTTATTTAAAAAAAAAATAAAAATAAGTTTAATTAATTAAAGGCAATTATAGTTATTATTGCCTGCAAAAGAAAAATTTGAAGCAAGTACAATAAATTATGAAATGTTTGTTGGCTTGTGGAAATATGTTTAAGGGTGGCTATTAAGAAGCTAGAAAAGCATTTTGTTTTTATTTCATTAGAATGCGCTTCTACTTATATTCAAGTCAAACGCTGGCCTTAAGTAAACATTTTAAAACTACATCTCCGAGAAACACAAATAATTTTACTTGTTTTTATATTGCAGGAATGGCCAACATTAATACGTCCACTAACCACATGCATAATAATAATAATAATAATAATAATAATAATAATAATAAATACAATGATGTGATGAGCCGAAATGTCCATATATATATATTTTATAATTTTTATAATTTTATCATTAATAAGTAAATATTGATTTTTTTTAATAAGACTTGAACCGTAAGTTGGCCACCCTTGGTAGGGGAAGGCGGGGCAGTACCGTACGGTTAAACTTCCATGGCTTATAAATCATGCAATTTTTAACGAAATTAAATGTTTTAAAGTGGTATATATAGAAAAACTTATGGTCTATAACTTGTATTCGAAACTTTTTTCTATTTTTTTTTTAAATTTGTTTAATTTGCGTTTTACTTTTTTTGATAAAAATACGGATTTACCCCAGGTGCGGGGTAAATCCGTATGTACTCTAGGGCAAAATCGTATGAGGGTAATTGTTATACCAAAACACAGTYCATTATATTTATTGGTAAATTATTAATTGGTATTGGACTTTTATTTAATTAACTTGTAAAGTTTAACTAAAATTAGACAGTAGTTRGTAAGTTATGTATGATTTCATTTTCATTAATTRAAGGACCATCCAAGGAAAAAATAGATAAAAGCTAAATCGTTAGTATTTTGTATAATTAAAACTTGGGTACCATTAAAAATATTATCCATCACTCCGTTTAATTGTTATTGTCGTTTTAAAATGACGCGTGACGTCACAGGTTCCATCGGTTGGCCGCCCGCCTATTTCAATACACGCATTTCCTCGACGCGTTTTTGTACATTTATTCGTATATTAACTCATAACACTCATAATGAATAGMAKTTTTCATATTACAAAATCTTAGATATATTCCTACAAYCTGATACTTATATACTATTGAAATAATAAATATTAAACTATTAAAGATAGAAAACATTTAATTTATACGTCTTTTCGTTTATTTCTATTTTACAATTATTTCACAAGCCCGTCATGTTAAATAATATTTACCACTTTTCAATGTTTTGACTACCGCCTTATCTTTAGTTATTATTATTTTATAATAAACTTGTATTATCCGTAGGTACACCAATACAATTTTTATAAATATATTTTTCGGTTCATTATCATTTATCAGACAGTCGTTGATTTACTTCGTAATGTGACGTGACGCGTATTCGACGGCAGAAAATAATTATATAGTTCGTTTTCGTTTTTATTTTTATAATAATTATTGTTAAACTTAAAATGTTGTGTTCGGTTTTCGGTTGTACGTGTTATAGCCACAAAGAAGCAATTCATTTTTAWAGGTTTCCAAAGCGCGAAAAATCTCCACAAAGATACAAGGTATGGGTTAATTTTTGTAAACGTAAACATTTTATACCAGGAAAAAACAATAGAATTTGTTCGTCTCATTTTAAAAGTGATGATTTCAATGAGTCTGATGTATTAGGTAAACAACTTATGCCAGACACAAAGGTAGTGATCAGATTAAAATCTAATGTATTTCCTACTATTTACAAAACAAAATCTGACGACGCTACTCTTACCTTACCATCAACAAGTAGATGTGCAAGACAGAATAGAAAAAGGGAAAATCAATTCACA